GAGCTAATGCTAGACCCCAATATTCAGAAACGGCTCATGGAAATGAAGGGTATTTTCATGAGTGTCTTCTAGATGCCTTGGGAAAATCACATGCGAGAAATAAAGGACAATTGTAATGAGTACAGCAAGAGTAAATAATTATTGCCAAATCAATGGGCGGATAACAAAAGAAATAAGGAAAACTACCCAGTTAAAAACTTGTCCATAAATGGAGGCAATTTCGGGGCAGTCATTCAGTTCCCAATGCACTCGGGTCTTCAGCATAGCAAGGAGGTGGGTGCAAAAGAACAGGAAGGCAGGTGTGGAACTGTGCTTTGTCGAAGGATGATAGACACATTTGCAGAACTAAATTGAAAGACAATACTGTTAATAAGGTAGTACATAACTTCACAAGTCTTTGGCAAATCACAGTGTTTCAGCGAGATTTGATGCCACCTGGATTATTGGTTCCCCATGTGTCCAAACAACAGGGCTAGAAAGCAAGCCATTGAAATAATAAACGTTTCTTTTTAAAATTTTGTCATTAGCAGTATGTTATACATGGAACAGTCACGAAGGCAATGTTTGACCTACCTCAAAGAAATCACGTAGTCTATCGATGGTGCTCGATCCTGGTACGATAGAAAAGACGAGGATATCCGCGATATCCAACGCAACGGTCTCGCCATAATCGCCAAGGACTTTCTCAGGGGAGAAGATTAGCATAAGGAAATTGAAGATCCGGTCCAAATGCGGCTCCCAATCGATCCTTCCCGGACATCCCAAAGCCAGACAGCTGAGAAGCGAGATTACCTCCTAAACACACAAGGACTTGTAATGATTAGGTTTTTACGAACAAATGAGGCCATGACAGCTTTCAGATGATACATTAGTAAAGGAAAAGCATGAATAAAGTAAACCAACTAAGAAGAAATGTAAACGAATCAGAGCACTTTCACATAGCTCCCATTATCACTTCACCAAATTCCAGTTCAAAACCAACATAAAGAAGTGGTAAGTACCTTACTAATTTCCGGCTTGGGATACTTGTACCAAATGTGGAAAATATCATCGAGCCATACGCGGCTAAAGACACAAAAACACCAGCTCATGATGTTGACGAGGATGTGAACAAAATGAAGTGCTTTTCTAGTGCCGTTTGTTGATAACCAAAAGTAAGTGTAATAATTTTTGAGTACTTTGATTCACTATTTGACACAACGGTGTCTTAACGATGACGGTTGTTTTATATTATGAGAGAAATAACATGATCTGCGACTACGGATAGATATGAGGACACTGGGAAGAATACTCAGCTAAATTTCGGTAAAAGGAAAGTCTATAAGGCAGAGGAACGTCGTGGAAAGTGATTGTTGCATCAAACAACTACGCCTACCTTATTTCATCGAAGGTCCACGGATTGAAGGGCGTGAACATCATCAAATTTTTGAACATCCCTTGATATGGACCATGGGGCAAAACGTGGTAAATGCAACCTTTGAAGTAGTTCCAAATCTCTTCAACGCATGATACTGGAAAAAACCTGTACGCGCAAAAGAGGCAGACACAATAATGAAGGATTTGTGCACGTACTCCAACGATGTAATCTATGCACTTCGCACCCCTTATCGGCTTAGAACAACCGGCTGCAATAACTCGTGTCGCTAACAGGATCACAGAGCTCAAAAGGATAAAATGTGTAACGGAGGTTCTTAGTCTAAAGGTAATTACAATTTCGGTTTTTTGAACTGCAGTTCAATGGACACAAGAAGAAGCGAAATTCGATGAGATTTCAAAATCACAAACACTACGGCTATGGACCTCAGATTTCTCTGAAATGAGTGGTGAAGGTTACAAAGCAGAGGGTGATGATAACTTGGTAGACAAAAAAACACGATCGGGTAAATGAGGAGTGTCAAATATGTTAAAATGAGGCAGAAATGATGTTAAAGACCTACAAGTGAACCATGATGTGGAGTGGTTCAAGAGCCAGGCAAAAGGGAGGCCTACCTCTTTGCAGAATTGAGTATCCCTACTATCGGCTTACCATTCCTAAAAGAAAGAGAAGAGGAATGATGCACTCAAAGACATTGAATAGCTAGCCGTTGACTGTTAGAGCTGCCAAAAATACACAAAAAGTGAAATAACAAACTCACTTAAAATCCAGCTTGCATTGACGCACGTCATTAGTCATGCCAATATCGATAGCTGCATTTCTGAAGAGCCTCCAATCGAGCTGCAATTCATCCCTTGTGATAAAGACACCGGCGTTGCTAAAGCCGTTTACGTTGAATTAAATTCAGAAGAGGGCATCTAATCCCAAGTTATAAACAGATAGGAAAGGAACATGTGAAATCAGTTATCGTTTGACGTGCATATGAAGTTTTATAGACAGAATTATTTAATCTTTAACGCTTCAACAATTGGGTTTCTTCAAAGAAAACGTCCAAGTTTTCTCAGATGCTAAACAAGTGAAGACTAATAAAACCTTACCCACTAATGATTATTATGGAATATTACTGAGGCACAGGACTAAATTTCTTATGAGAAACCAACATGGCGCTCCCCAACTTCCCCTCACAAATTTCGCAAAAAAAATGGGTGTCCGCTAAACTCCTAGGAGATAAAATGCCAATACTTACTGCCAAATGCGTGCAACTCTTAACATTGCAAATCCGCTTGAATGACCAAGCTCTTGTTGGCTAACGAACTTCAACTACTTATCACCCTGCGCTTTATGCTTCGGAGTTGAGTACAGCTACAGGAAGAGCAGAGTAAGAGCACAGATATTTACTCTGCCTGCATTAAGAGTTCGGGAAGAAAATATTCCTTTGTGCATGCAGTGACAAACAAATGTTCAGAGTTGTGCGCATCGAGCATACGATCAACTTTTAAAGAAGGGTGAGAAAAGGATTGAGTGCCTCAATTTAGAGTGCACAAGTAAAGGAGAGAAATAGTCAAGATTCGCGTTACTCCACATGAACGGATTCTTGTACAAATTCCCCAATCAAAAGGATTGGTAATCCGTGAAACCCCCAGAAAATACTAAGGGGAGCCATATTATCAGCGCTGGATTTCAAAGAAGTTCAAACACAATGGTTGGGAAACTTGACAGAAAGCCACACTTTCAAGAGATTTAAAAAACGGCTCCAACATCTGGGAAGTAATACTTATGAAGACCAGTAGATAAAAATACGCTTTTGACTTACGTTAGTAAAAACTGGATGCAGTCTGCCCAAACGGCGCGGAAAGTTCTATCGGTTTGTCGACAAAACACTAGGGCGAGCCCAAACCTAACGATGCCAATGAACTCCCGTTTTGTAAACCGGAACCCAAACATCTCGATAAAACTAAAAGAAAACATCGGGTTTTACTCCTCCTGCATTCATAAAGTTTAGAGTCAGAATTTAACAAATAAGTGAAGTTGGTAACTAAAGAACCAAGATGAGTCTTACTTTTTAATATCGAATGTAAAGTTATGATGGTGACAGAGGTAGGTACTGGAGGAGATGAGACGCCTAAATGACTCCCTCAGACCTATTGTTGCAGCCTCTGCATAGGCTTCAATCTGATCCGAATACGGCAGCAGGTGGTTGATTCGACGAATTTCTATGTATTGCTCAGCATCAGACATGACAGTTGCGATTATACATGAGATCTACAGAACATATATTTAAAAATTTGGTCACAGTTTTACCGGTAATGTCGACTTGTAATTATCTTTAGAATCTGAACTTTGACTCATAAGAGCAGCTAATACGATAATGGAACCTTAAAGTAATACCAAACGTTGTCAGAAACACCAACCCTCTTGTTGAACATATGCACTCGACCCAAATGAAATGCCTTTTACCGTCCAAAAGTTAATATTAAGACCTTACAACACAATGGGCGCTGGTACGAAATGAAATAACATAAAGTATTGGCGCCAATAGAACCAAACAAGTGCAAGACAAAGGAAATTTCTTTTAGAATGCAAAGAATTAATCATGCGAAGGGGAGTCAAACATTATATTAATCACAACTGGCTTTCAATGAAGTCTGGAACTTAGTTACAGAGAGATATCTACTATTAGGCCTTATAAAGTCAAAATCGAAGACATCAGCAATAATTATTAAACATTTGACGCGGAAGACCAAGTAAATAAAAGAAAATTGAAGGTAACCAATATTTCTCCAGAGCAAAGAAAGTGGTGACAGTGCCGTAACGTGGTCATACAGCGCTTTGGTAAAACAAACGATATGTAGGTGAGATTTGACGTTTATGGATGACAGTATGAAGTAATTTAAGGATTCAAAGCACAATAGAAACCCTCAAAGGTTTATGCTTGGAAATATCAATGAGTCTAGAATCATGGCAGGTGATTTCATCTCATGAATGTGAATATTATTCAGCCAAAATTACCTAAGCACTCAATCGCCAATGGGTATTAAGCTTTACGCTTAGCCATCAGACACGTGTATATTCAAAAATAGCCGAAAATAGATAAAGAACACTTGATGAGATAGGGTCTAAAAATCGCACCAGATTAAACGGATGCAAGAGATCAAACCCACCTCTTCAATGCACGCGCGCCGACCTTAAGAGAGATCACATAATCCAATCTGATTTAGATGTGTAAATACTGACGTTTTCGAAAGCAAAATCAAGAAGCCTTAGTAGTATTACAACTTAGTTTAGTTCGATAAAGCGATCTACATCTCTAACACAGGCGAACGCTTTTTAGTTAAAAGCAGTAAGAATGTTCGCACTTGACAAAGAAAAGTGCCGCAGCAAGATGCTTTTCCATGACATTTCGTAGAGTTTCTCGTATAACGCAAATTTCAAATTTAAATAAAAAATAATGAAGTTAGAGGAAGGTAGAATAAGGAACGATTGCGGCATATCCATCCTACGAATTAGTATAATTAGTAGTCCATATTTAAATGCCTCTTCTTGTAGCACTTCAGCTCTTGACTCCAATTAGAAAATGACATCAAGTTGAGCAACTTATGTACATTCTAAATTATAAGGGCTAATGTAAGGGCGAAGCGAATACCACTGCAACTGTTAGCTATCGAGTGTTCCCTAAAACGAAGTTTTGCGCTTGTAGGCCTTCTAAGTCTTCTCTCAGGTCCATCAACTTCTGGCTTTAAAAGAATTAGCTTGAGGAAATCCAGGTGGCATTTTGTATAGAGAGAAAAGGCGGGTGTCGATGGGTTGATAAACTAAGGTCACTGCGGGTGTCTCCGCGCTCCTCACCAATGAGATTCGTGTTGGAACTGACTGACCACCTCTGTTTTATTGGCACCTCAAACGCATTAGTATACTTTGCAGCGCCACTTTCTACTCAAATCCCCTAGAGATGCGATTCCTTTTTATGTGGCCAAAGCCCAACTCTCTCTTCTCCCCCCATAATATACGTATTCGAAGCAACTTACTGCCTTCTTCTACCTAACGAAAAGTCTCAAACATACAGACATTAGAAATACAGCTTTTAATGCTTAGTACCGCTAAGCGAAGCTGAGTGTATGTATCCCGGGGTCAATGAAGATCCAACCCAAGAGTAAAAGAACAAGACGAAACCCAATGTGGTAAGACATCAGATGACCACCTAAACAAAGAATTACCCTATCTCTCTCTTTTTTGTGCGACGTTCTCAACGCTATCCTTGGTACATCTCTCGCACTAGCCATCACACCACATTCGTCACTGTAGGAAAGCACCCATGAACCAACCCCGCATCTCAGCGGATGAGACAGATCAGACACTGTTCTGTGTATAAGGAGAGCTGTGGTGTCATTTCCAACACCTATACACGGGCGTGTTGGATAAAATATCGACGCGAAACTTTTCCTGATGGTTCACGGTGGTGTCACTTCAGTTGTAAATAGCTTGTCTATGGAAAAAGGGTACATCATGAAACCGAACGCAGACATCATGCCCAACCGTCGGTATATGCCACAACTGGTAGATACCAGGATAGAAGTCGTTAAAAAATGGCAGATTCGCCTTTCGCTGCCACTAGTATAGGACCTCGAGATTTCTCATAGAGGAAGAATAAAGCGTTAAGTGGAGCTAAATATATGCATTCTAGGAAGCAAAGATGGATCAAGCCTAAGCTTGACCCGAAGGCCAGCCTGTGCGTACAAGAGCCAGAGGAATCATAAAGCAACCAATAGACATCAGGTGGGAAAACTCTGGACGGTGGACCAAGAATTATGACTTGGTAAGCTTATGCGCCATTGAATAGCATAAGGGGAACATTTCGATCACTGATTGCATCTCATAACGTCCCACTGAAGAGCGGAAATTCCACCTGCACTATTTATATATGAGACCAACTGTATGACTTTTAGTCAACACAGTATTTATCTTGCTATCGTTTGTGGGGGCTAGCCTTCTGGTCAAGCCCTCTTTTGGAAGGCCTTGTTTTGTTATGCTGCCTGCGTAGCGTGGAACGGTTACATTATTAAACAGAGTTCAAACAATTTATGTGCTAATTAAAACTGAAGCGTCCCGATCTTTCTACAAGGCATAAAAAGGTATTGTTATGGCCTAACCACATACGTACGAGGAAGGAAAAATTAATTATTTAGAGATTGGCCCGAAGGCTAGACCACGAATACCAAAGTAACGGTCAGGCATTAGGTGGCCCCATAAAAAAGTATTACGACAAACACTCGGGTTGACCAGCCAATTATGATGTAATTTAGTACCAATACTCCTAGTTTGATAGAAAAAAAGATTTGGCATGGTTAAATGTATGCGTTTAACGAGGAAGGGGCACGGGAAGATACGGCTTTGGCAAAGCCAAAATGCCAGCTTAGGCGAAAAATTCGAGATAATGACCATCAATCACACGCTTCACCTAATAAATGAGGGACTACCATATATTTCAAAGTGATGGGCAGATAATGCAGACACAAAAGACCAAGAATGGTTTTTATTCTAGCTAAAATGTGAAAATATTTTATAAATTTTTAGGCAACAATTTACAATTTTTACACAATTCTATGGAGCTTTTGTCTTTTATGAGATTCTTTTCGTTTTGAAGCATAGCCTTGAATTGTTTGTATTTTTGAATTCGACCAGTAAAGATCACTGAATGACAATACCGCTTCTTTTGCTAACTCGATGTTAAGTGATGCCTATTTTTGCAGTGCTATTTTACACTGTCCTAGTGCTTTCTTTATCCTCGGGATTTAACGTTGAAGTTAAATTCCCTTTAGTAAAAAGGGGAAAACTTAATTCACTTTTTGGTTTCTCTGTTGCTGGTCATCAAATTCGAAATCACGAGGACGGGTAATAAAATATTTGCCAATCAGTTTTAGGGTGATCGTTGGCGCACCGCTTGATGATAAATCTGGCTCAATTTTTTGGTGCACATACGATCGCAGTCAGTGTCGGCGTGTAAATTTTGATATTCATAAATCAGCCCGTTTTTCTTATGCGGTTCTTAACAATGAGCTGTTTGGGTTCTCATTATCAACTCTACCAAAAGAACAGAATCGGTTGGCGATTGTAAGCATCCTTTTTATCAATTTTACATTTTTTTCCTCGAATTTTTTTCTTCACCTTTCGGCTTTTAAGTCTGGTTCATATTTAGCTATTACTCTTAAGCAAATTGTGGTCCACTAAACTCCGGTTTAATAAAATTTTAAAACACAATTAGCTGATAGCGCTTTTTGAAATTAGTAAATTGTGGGCCTAGTAGCGTTATTAACATTTACTATTCTTTCATCTTGATTCTTTATTTATTTGCTGCTACAGGCCTGTTCACCAAGGTTATCTTATGAAGTAACAGGGAAGCTGTTCGTTACTGGTGGATGTTTTGCATTTAACAATGCCTTGGATAATTCCTCTTTTTTGGGGGCATCAACTTGTCTGAATATCCCGGAAGCGTCCCGTTCAATTGATCTTCGATTCTGTTTGGATGGCGCATCAGCAGCATACGTCCATAACTCTAACACCGACATAATTGTGTCTGGCAGTCCTTACTACCAATTCGCTAAGGGTAAGAAATTGGGACAAAATGTTAGTATATGTGCGCAAATTTCTCTACTTTCAAATATTTTAAGGAATTGGGCTTGTGAACAATGTTACGGAATTTAATCCAGTGCGAAAAACGGATATAGCCCATGTAGGTGACTACAGTCTGTTAGGTAAGTTTATTTGTGGCAATCCTGTTAAGTAGCTTAAAACTAAACCGTATGACCTGTATTATTTGAATTTGATAATCACCACTCAAAAATTATTGTTCAAAGGTTCCTCGTCGGCGCTCTCAGATCGAGTTTACAGTTCAGCATCAGACTCTGAGAGACCAGTCGTTTCTGTTTTTGGTGCTCCAGGGGTCCCTCAAACAGAGAATAATGAAGGATCTGGGTTCGTTACATTGAATGTCATCGAAAGGAGCACCAATCAGATCGTAATCCCACAAGCTAAGGTTCTTCATGGAAATCGATTTGGTTCTCGATTTGGTCATGCCTTGGCCTTGATCGATTTGGATAGTGACGGGTTTGTTGGTTTGAACTTGGCTTGTGCTAACTCGTGTTGTCAGTCTTTTGAGTGGTGTATTTGGCCTCATGTTTTGGGCAGGTGGGATGACCTTGTGGTGGGGGCGCCGTTCGAACAGTTGCCTGGTGTAAATGCGGCTCCCCAGCAGGACCTGGACATACAGAGTGTGCATAATGCTCCGGTTTTGGGGTGCATCTATGTCTTCTGGAATCAAAGACGCCGCCTCCCTAGCGTTACTGCCTTTGACTTCACCAGTGTGCAAACCATTTGGCCACCTACAAGTCTCTCCTCCAAGAGCGGTTTTGGCAGTTCCATCACTAGCCTTGGAGACATCAACCACGATGGAGTTGATGGTTAGTTCCCCTTTTCACTTTCGTTATGGAAATTATTTTTTTGGCGCATCAGGATACACAAAGACGATATTTCCTTGGTTCTTGTATGACGTACCACTTTTTCCTACCTTGTGACCCACATTACTAAATCGTAGGCTGTGCCCACATTGGAAGCCATAGATGAAATCACTACAAACAACCGTGCTGAAGACGTGAGAAGCATTTGACGTTAAAGATTTTATAAATTGATGACTTTCGGCCCAACTTATGTCTTTTTACTTTTCAAATTCTGAACATGCCGACATGAATATTTATCTTCATCGTTTTATGCATTAATGGGAATTTTTTGGCTAAGTATTGCTTTGGAAGTGCAATGTAATGGGACATTAGTCTTATAACGGCTTTCTAATGAACTCTTGGCTGTAAGGCAAGGCTTTCACCTCATTTTTCGGTAAAAGCAATAAAACCAAATTGTTTTTGTGATAATCTATAAATAGACTGCTAACGAAACTTCCACCGCTTTGATGGATGCATTAGAGTGTCGTCACCGTTACCCTAGCAGTCTGCATATTTACAATTCACGTGGGTTGCCACACTTTCTTGAGTTCTTTTCATGACCCGATCAGTTTATACTGGTTCATGTGTAAGATGGATTGGTGATCCCCTTGAGATAGAGGTCACCGTATTTCGCTGCGGATGGGGAGCAGTTGTGCGGTTAGTCATGGCGGCACTCAAACTACGGACATGGCGCTGGTCATTTTAGATGCTGTGTTCGTTGTCTTTGTTAACTTCCAACAGGGTGTTGGCACCTTTGGGTGCATACTTTTAGCCTTTTCATTGCCATGATTCCTACCATAGTGGATGTTGACTATAATCTGTTTGTTGCTGTCAGCTGACAACTTGTTTTGTCATATGAAAGTATTAGCATTAGTTTTAAGGGCGAGCGCATCAAATTACACTCTAAAATTTACGCCACGCCGATGAAGGCGCATTTGTGTACGACTTTGTTGATAAGGAGTGTCAAGTGAATTAGAATGTTGAAGTACAGATTTACATAAATTTCAATTTGGGCCATCCCACTCACATACAATTTCGCTCACCTTTTAATCATACTACTGTTATTTTTCGTTTGAACCCATCTGCGAATACCACTTGCTAATTCTCAGACCGGCAGCTCCATTCACGACCATACCGATTAACTTGTCTCTTTCGTAAACTGCCTTCCTCATTGAAAATAAACAGGAATATGGGCGTGCGCTTCTCTACCAACTGGTCTTGTGTTGATGAGGAGGCACTGCAACAATTTCATACGAATCGCATTAGCTGCCTATGGCGGGGTGCGCACATCCCACCAAAATGCAATTCTTGGCGAAAAGGAGAGGAAGTGCCACCAGCAACAGTGAATGAGTGAGAAGACGCACAAATAAAGGCGCAGCTCACCACAGCACAACAACGGCATACGTGCGTTCTTGGTGCCTCCGCCATCGCAGATGACACACACGGTGCCGAAGACGCCACCCCGCCTCCGTATGTGCGTGAATGCGTGTGCGAGCACCTCATGCGGGCAACAATCTCTCTGCAGATGTGGTGCGTCTGTTGAAGATGGGAGAGACCAGAAGCATCATGTAGTCTCTTCTCACAGTACACCAAGAATTCATGACGTTTTTCGCTTATTGTCACGGGAGCAATAATTTCTTGACCTGAGCACTTGTGTTGAGGAGCGTAGAGGATGCCTCTCACGCTTCTACACTGGTGACTACTGTTGGTACGCCGCGACCTCAAAAAGTTGTCAGGTCACTCTCACTGCAGTGGTGAGTACAAAAATGACTTATGTATCGGGTTCTCCATATTCGCTGACAGGGACATACGTTCATCACATAGGCTAGCACCTTTTGCGTCTGTTGTGATAGACAATCCTAATCACTCGGATCTATCGGCTTCTCCCGGTCTATTTGGAGGAGGCACCTTAGGCAGGCAAAAATGGGACTGTTATGAGAACTTGGGTCGTAAGTAAAATGAATGAATTTGAAGGACTTTGATGATGGAATTCCAATTCTCATACTCATATTAGTCATTGTTTCTGGACCTGAACAACACCACGCTTACCTCGCCTTAAGTGTACCTGTCAGACATAAATCAAGTTTGCTGTGCATGCGTCCATTCACGCCCATCTAACTGAAACCAGATGAACTGAGAGCAATTTCAGTGCTCGTTAAATTCTAATGTAAAATTGAGGTAACTGACGTACTGCCGGATTCACCCTCCATGTGGTGACATTCGAACCGTGCACACTTCAGCTGCTGCCAAGAGGATGAAACTGAACCCCTTGCCTCAGGCCTTTGTGGCATAGGGATGCCGTAACGTGAGACCAAGCAATAAGTAGCACTAGCCTATGTCCATAATGTCATGAAAATCCCCTCGTTCTAGGGGATCATGTGTCACCATTTGTCAAAGGTTCCGTTTCCGGCTCAAGGAGTGCTTTGGGAAGGTGGTCGGCTCAAAAGTGAACAACCTTTAAAGCGAGACAAAGTGAATGCAGTAATAACTCAAGCAGTGTAGCATTTTGATAGGATGGGTTACTACTTTCGAGAGTTAACTCAATCGTTTCGCAGTTTCAGCAGTAACCGTTGAAGCGTTGGAGCGATTGTGAACACAGTTGAGCTTGAAAATGGATGGCATTTACAAGCCAGGGGACATCCTGCAGGCCCATTCACAATTCATCCCATCTTATTCCCTAGCACAGCACTGCGTCCTTTTTCCTTTCAGTTCCTTCATGTTGACTATCTAAATGTTGGGCTTTACATTCTCGTTAGTAATTTCTGTCCTTTGCTTGCCAGTCGCGTCTTCTTCCTCATATCTGTACGCGCAGGGCAGACAAATGGTCCCGAGAGTGGTTGTTCATGGGTCTTCATGCCGTTCTCACAGTAAGAAGAACTCCAGGCAAACGACAACTGCTCCCACCACAGTAACCTGACTCTCTGCAGAACGTCAGTTCCACCAAAATGTCTCTTGTTCCTCACGATTTGTAGCTCCAATGGATGGGTTTATGTAGTTCATCACTTGAGTTGACGCATCTGTTCTCCCTTCCTTTAGCAAGCCTTAGGCTACTAAGTATGTCCCAATTGAATGGCCGTTGAAGTATGAAGAAGCAACACCTTTTCCCAATTTTCTCTTCAACTCGATTTACAGATTTTGCAGTTGGAGCTCCCTATGACGAAGGTGGCGGTGCAGTTATCATTTACCACGGCTCCAAATCCAGACGCATCAACGGTCCTACGCAGGTGAGTCGCAAAGTTTTGCGTCCAACTTGTCTTCTCATGTGCAAGATGTCCTTTCACTCATTAATTGAGCGGCTCTTCACCAGACAGCAGTGTCTGGATTTCGCAAGGAAATGTAGTACTTTCTCCCAGTTGACACCACCAACTACGTCCAATTTTAGAGGCTGAAAATCGGGATGCTTGATCTAGGCGCATGCTAGCATGCCCTTGCAAACATCCTTACAAAAGCTGTATCCACAGCCACCTCGACCAAAGCGGTGCAAGCATTGAAGCAATTTTGCCAACTCATCATGTGGATGAGGGTGTAGACTGACCAGGATCAGTTTCAGGCCTTACAAACAGCGACAGGCGAGGCAGGGCTGATTGAGGTTGCAGCCCTTTCGATGCCAAACGTGAGAGTGCGCACAGTGACTTGAATCTCGAAGGCACCAAAGCCTGAACTGACTGTTGCATTCACTTTCAGGCTTAGGCAACTTTTTCATCAATTCACATCTCGACTGAACTTTACTTCATTATGACGTTTGTGTGGCGAACCTTAGACATTTAGACATTTAAAATAAATGGCGACTCCTGTAGAAATCAGTTCAACAGCTGTGTGTAAGAGTCAGAGAATGTTGTGTGCAGTCTAATGCAAAGTTCATTTGACTTAAGCCTCATATTTTCTTAGACCCCTCGTATCAAGGAGTGTTGATGGAGGGACTTAGTTTATTTTTGTTTCCCCTGTGCTGCTGCCTACCTCAACTAGCACAGCCAATAAATCATCCTTAAAAGCGGTGTAGATGCCAACGTGGATGGCTCCAAGCTGCAGTTCTTCTCCCACTAACTCAAGTGCTACGTAAATGACGTCCATTCCTCGTCTTACAGCAAATATAGTGCACAAAATCCTGCCTCTCCAATATTTGGACCTTTTTTATGCATTGAACATCACTTTTGTGACTTAAATAAGGAGCGAAACTCACAATTACAATTTCCTCTATAAAAAAGACATTTGATGCAAATACCTTGGCTTGGTAAAGTCCTAAAAACTACTCAGATCAAAGGTAGAATTGGTTTTTGCGCTGCTTTGATAAAGTGGGCAAATAATTTATTATGAAAATTAATACTACCATTGTAAGGCTTTGGACGTTCCCCGAGTGTTGGGCCCCAATTCCACACCGCCTTTACCCCAACCGAAACTCAACGTGCCACTGCCGGAGGTCACTAATGCTAAATCTCATAATAGTACAAAAATACTTAAAAGTCAATAACAAGGTCGTACCAACGATTTGGTTTTACCTCAGAGCGACCCACACCACGTGACCCCGTCCGTGTCTGCCCCTTGCGAACGGCCTAACTTGGCTGCAGAGTGCGGCTCTTCACTTTCCAACTTCCCCATTTCACGTATCAACGGCTTCCTTCTTTTTCGTAGCCTTCGGCAACATTTGGGGAAAATAGGAAAAACATTCAAAATTGCAGATCCTGCCACATTCAAATTCCGTAAGGTGCTGATTTTGGCTACATATTTTCGCTGTCAATGCTGGGAAATTAACTGATACCGACGACGTTCATAGGAGCTGGGGGAAATTAGCAGTGCGAATTCTTCTCTCCTCCCTCCAATTTCCCACTGTAATCTCGAGTGTCATCAAATCTGTCATGCAGTACTGTGAAAGTTTTCCTACTTATTTTTCATATCAACGTGCAGAAGGCATCCACTGGTGGGTACAAACCACCGGAAAAAATGTCACGGAATCCTCAAGAGAGTCAATTTGGCCTCCCTCGAATAGGCATCTTTGCATCTCACAGCAGTTGCAGTCCACTCTCGTTTCGCTCCGATGAATAGCCAAGTTGGAATTGACAAGCCGAACGATTGGCAATACATCCTCGACGTGAAACACCGACTGTCTTTAAAATGTCTGTTTTATGGACTGCAAAGCCACAAGTTTTCTTCTACGTCGTCAGTAATACATAGGAGAGCAAACCACATCATCATTCTTGGCGTGCAATTGCCATTGTTAATGACATTTCAGTAAATACCATGAGTGCTCTTTCAAATAGGTGTTGCAGTTGCCAAGATCCAATCTTTCCTCAAATTCATGCCCATTTTCCCACCCTTTTTCATGCCGATTATGCCTCCACTAGCAAACATGAATTAAATTATCATGATAAGCGGAAATTGGAGAAATTTTACGTAATACTGTTAAAATAGAAGATAAAAATGCCTCCGTTGTGATTGTTTTGGTTTTCAAAGGACATTAAAAAGTTGCCAGTTCAGCTGCTTCGCCTCAGGAAGGGTGAAAACACGGCGCATGTCTAATGATTTGCAGTCTCATTACTATCGTGACCTCAGGTCACAGATATTAACTGGATCTTTCGTGAAGTTGTGGGACGTTTTCGGTGGAAGGCGCACAAATGCGTCACGTGGTGCCGTCTTATTAATGCCTCCAGACACTACTGCGTTGACTCTCAAGCCACAGGAGTGACGGTGCCAACAACAATTTTACCAGGCAACACCCCCACAATGACACCCACCTTAGGCTCCGTCCATTTTGCGAACATTCTAATCGTGTGGGATTTGCATTGCTAGCCAAGAGACCTTCGAATTAGTGGAATGGGAATTAGCTGATAGGCTGAATGGATAGGCCTTGGAATTAATAATATTTGCTCTTCAGATTCTCAATGCCGCCGAATTGTCAGAAGCCATGAAAGGGTTTGGCTTTTCCCTTAGCGCAGGTGGACTGGACTTAGACAACAATGGCTATCCCGATTTGGCTGTGGGAGCTCCCGATTCCGACACAATTGCTGTCTTTCGGGCTCGGCCTGTCATTAAGTGCGTCAGTGGTACTCTTTTTCCATGCATGCCTCGTAGGCCATGGGACCTACGTTTGTGTGGACCTTAGTTACATATTTTTAGGGAGAAGTAGGGCGATCATAGAGACTAACAACTTCCATTCCTATCAGTACTTGGAGGCCCTTCTGCTATTTCTTGCAGAGTAAAGATTTTCGTACTTCGAGAGAATGGATTGAGTCACGTGCGTGAAAGGTTGGACTCACTGGAGGAGTGTACAAGGGATACACAGATTCTGCCCGGGTACTGGGCTCCTCGCGTGCACTGCATGAATATGAGGGTCCTCGCCACCTTCACTCACCTCGACCGGTAAGTCAACTTCTACTATACAATGCACAAATCCCCTCAAATTAACAAAAGCCACTGCAATGGGGCGGACACAAAACAAGACTGCACTTCTTGGCCATCTGGACGGTAACTGCATTACCTTCGTATGCACTTCATGACTACCTTCTGAACAGAATGGAGCGTGGAGACAAAACATTGCAACTGATTGCACCACTGCTTTTGTTCCCTTGCAGTGTTTTTAATTTAAGTGGTAGAAACCATTGTCACACAGACGGTCGCCGACCCTGAAAGTATGCATGCGCTAGTTTTACAACGTGTGGGACAGTAGAGCAGTGCTTTTACTCATTACGGAGGAATTCAGGCCACTTGCTTATGCTGGTTCTGCTGCGTCAACCAGCAATTTGCATGTCCTGAGAAAGGAAGGAACCTCAAAAGTGCATTAAGTGCCTCACACACTTTTATGTTATGAATGTTTTAGCTTGGAAAAATTAGTGATCCTGTTGTAGTAGAGCATCACCCCACCTCTCGTTGTTGCATTTCTAAGCACAAAATACCTACTTCATCAGTCGGCTATTTTTGTGCTCTACTGTAATATTAAAGAGTCGCCTCTTTTCAATCGCTTCTCGGGCGCACAAACGAATGGGCTGCCGTCATTGCCTCATTATTATCCTGCATTTTAAATGGAGTGCCCTAGAAGACTTCGGAGTCACTTTGTCACAGTGCTGAGGGCGGACTAAAGTCCATCCACCAACGGCACTGACAACATTATCGTATGCAAAACACAATTCATTCCATTGCCGAATGCTCCACCACATTTGTAAAAGGCGTATTTTTGAAGCAGCCACCACCACCGCCTTCTGTCCACCTCTCCTCGTTTTACTTGGCACAACTTTTTAACACCTTCTTCTAAGACATACTCCAGTTTGGGCAATGGGCACAATGGGACTTTGAAGTCCTCACTGGATTTTGTGCATCAAGTCTCGCTCATATCAACTTCCTGAAGCGCGAACAATGATTTTTTTTTGCATAAAGTACGGTCAATCACCAGTCTAATCTGTGCTTGTTGCCAAAAGCATTACTTTTGTTTAGAAATTGGACTTTTTATGGAGAATTGACATAAAGTGGAACACTTTTAACTTAGGATTTGCCAAAATTCCACAAAATAAAACTTCGTTAATAGGCTACGATTTACACTTGGTTTAAGGATATCCTGTACACAAAGGACGATTCCTGTGCGTCTGTTGTTGAGCATCAACCCGCCAGAGCACTGGTTGAATGAGGAATTCATGAACACAACCCTATCAAATACGGAGATCCCAGTAGCGAGTTTCTTCGGAGAGCGGCTGCTGAAAGTGGATGATCCAGAGGTGCGCCTCTTCTACCAGCGTATGAACAAAACAGCAACACCACCTGCTGGCTCGGACGAGATGTTGCCTTTTCTCTTTCTCAATTCCTTAACAGCCTACTGCCGCGATCACAGTGCTGCCGACAAACCTCTCAGTCCCGCCGAACTCATCCGTGCAACTCCTGTCCGGCTGGCCTTCCGCGTGAGTCTTTTGGAGCTGTCTGCAAGTCCCCTTTTGTATTGAGAGGCAGCTAAGTCATCCCTGAAGGCGATGTTAATCGTGCCCATCTAAAGGTCATCATGCAGCAACGGAGTAGCTGCAAAAACTGAACGGTTCGAGTGTTTGAAAGTGCTGTGCACAATCAACTGATCTGTTTTTATAGTCTAAGGTATATTTACAGGAAGGAGTTAATAACTATAACTAATGGATCGGCATATTTGGACGACTAGTAAAAAAATGATTGACAAATGAGCACTCGCTAGCGTTGTTGTTGAGCATTCAGCAACGCTGGTCGCCTCTAGTCTCTGCGTTATTTTTCAGCCAAAAGCATCGCTATTAGTAGACCTCCTCTATCGGTTCAATGTAGCCCTCCTCTCTTAGGCATCACAGCGCCAACAAAGTGACTTGCAGCCGCGAACGCGGACAAGGAGTCGTCACCGCCAGCTATTAGTGATGCTGCTAACCCGAGACGCCGTTCAGCTTCAAAAATTCATGAATGTCAATCAACAGGGAATGCATTCCATTTGCTGTTGTCTCTTGTCATTTTCCTGTGAGGGTCTTGATTAGTGTAGTCCTTTTTTCATGCCTTTAGAAGACTGAAGTCACCTGCCGTCGTTTTATCTGTGGTCATTGTTGTGGATTGAAAGCGTCTGCCTTGACACAACGCACTTTAACTACATCTGCTGCTAATCGCATGAACTGACACGTTCCTGTCACTGATGTCATAACGTTGTCTGCATCGATAAAACGATATTGTGAATTCAGGAATCTGCTTAGTTTACACAGTGAAAGAAAAGTTAACAAAATTGAGCACTTAATACTTCTAAGGCATTGGCTTGAAACAGACCGTAAGGTGCCGTTTTACTGGAATGTGTCAAATTTATTAGAAGTCTTGCGACAAGTTGTAATGCTTTTATAATGTGGACGCAAATTTTTTGCACTCTAAGTGAATATTTAAAGGGAGGGAATGCTGACAGGCAATGATTTGATTGGCATTTGTGCCAAGCGACTCCATTTAAGCTGTCAGGAGGGTCGATGCAACCGCGGTTCAGTCCAACAATGCCTGGTCTCCTCCCAACCTTCAATAGAATCGTACCTTGTGGAAAAACGCTGAAACCTCTCACACCTTGCAATTTCAATTTACTTTAAAGACTGGCTTTTAAAACTTTGACAACTCATTTCTTCTTACAGTTGGAACGTTTGCAGTAGAAAAGAACCAACTGTGGGTACGACTCTCATTCCTCTCGGTGAATGCATCGCATCAAAATGTCGGTCAAACATTTTCAGTCCACAGCTGTCAGCGAGTTTTGATTGCATTTTATTGCAAGACTACTGCATAACTGAATGTGAACTCTTCCGTGCCATTCATGCACAGACTCCGTACAAGTGATTAAGCAAAGTCACCAAAATTAATGAAACATCAATCTTTGAAGGGTGGAAACGAAGACTGCTTCGCTTTGACTTCTTAATGTATCACTGCAATCTTGACAAGTCGCATTTTCAAGTCGGCAATAATGGGCGTACTTTTCAGCTGGGCTACACCCCAGCTTTGCCAACGCGTTTGTCCACCGTACTTCACTTTTGGTTTGCCGTTTGTTCTTTCTTATTTTGCGCTATAAAATGGCGATTACCTCGATCCAGTTATTGAAAGCTACCAACGAAAGACCTCTATGCTACTTCTATTTAACTAACTAAAAGCCTAATCTGCTAATTAAGTGGATGATGAAAGCGGAAGGTGTCCTTTTCTCACTTAAAGTAAGCTGTACTTGTGCCTCGTAGGACGTCGATTTGGTGGACCTCACCTCCCCCATTCGGATTGGCGTAAAGTGGCTGTTGGATGCTTCGTCGCCATCTTCCTCCTTCGATGAGCTCAAAAACCATCCCATTAGTGATCCAATGGAGAATACCGGCCAAGCCATGGTAAGACTGTCAAAGTGAATGTAACAACGGAAACCTGAACTTGATTGAAGAACAAATGCTGTGCTAAGGTGATCTTGCGGAAGTAGGCACATTGTTGGGGTCAACGCACATTTGTGCAATGATGTGATGGTTGAATTGCAAACACTGGAGGGTCTGCGTTATTAATCGTGCTCCAAAGGCGCTCAAGTGACAGTTATAGTTCTTCCTTACAGATCACATTTGGTAACGAGTGCGAGTCCCGAAAATGCAATCCAATCCTGCTCCCGCAGTTTGAGTACTCAGTTAACAGGTAACGATTTTGGCGACTTCCTATGTATGCATGTAATAATTTGAGTGGATGATTTTAGTGGGGAAATGGGGCTGCGCTACGGTCAGGAATATTGAGTCACCCTTCGGCCTTGGAAGGGTCCTTCAGTTGGTTGGGTCAATTCTCACTTTAACTACACAGCATTTTCATCCTACTTTCTGAAGAAGAGAGAGGCGAATTCCATGCGATGAAACTTATCATCACTTAACATATTTCCTCACTTACTTTATGCGTTTCTGTCAACAATTAATTGACACTTGGAAACGCAATCCGCAAATACTTTCTCATGATAAATGAACTATTTCAAGGCAGTCCGTATGTCCAACTCATTTCCCAGCGTATGAGGCATTCGGAACACTGCAGCTGTTCATGGTTGACACAGATCACGACTGCTACTTCAGGCATCACACATGGTGAATGTTGTCAAGATGAGCTGTCAACTCCTTCAGCTAGGATCGGCCTTTAAATGCATCCACCTCTACTGTGAATGAAGCATTTTACAGGTAACACTGCAGGTTCAATGCCTTTCCTCAAAGGAGGCTTCATCACTGCACGGTAAATCAGCCACATGTTAACACTCCTCTTACCATCTTGGGTAGCAAGTGGTTCACAGCATGCGAAACAGGCTTCATTCACTTTTGTGTGGTGTAAAATCTCCCGTCGTCCGCTGATTCTCTTTAACCCAAGCTTGTCTCACGCAATACTTCAAGCAGTAAATGACAAAAGAGTAACAACTAAATGCCAAAGATTTCTACAGCTTTAGTTTAGGAAATACTTACTACTCAAGTCGAATGTCCCAGCTCAAATCATTTGCATTAAGATAAAATTTGGATTTTTTGTTGTGTTTGTGGAGCAGAGACAAGGACGGACCAGTAGTTTTTGTCGGTGACGATGAATTCCAGTCGATCGAAGTAAAAGCCACTGTGACCAATAGAGGCAGGGATCCAAGCTATGCAACTAGTATTTACACCTCTTACCCTGAGGAATTGCTCGATCTCAGCACCGATTCACACAAACAGGTGAGCCCACTCCACTTCCTCTCCTTTTTCTCTTCTCCCAATGCCCTCTCTCTTGTCAGCTGGCACACGTTTTATCATCCAATGAGGCATTGCATCAGTTTGATAAGTTTCAAATGTGTTGTGAATTCAACCCCAAGTAGACTCACGCATGCCCTCATTGTACTACAGTTACTCGGTTTTACCACAACTGACAAGCGTATTCTTTATGTTAGCGTTATGAAGTGTAGTGACAGTAATGATAGCTTCTCTGGACAAATGTAGTTCTATGAATTGCATGAGAAAAATCATTTCTGTAAGGCAGACTTGTATACGACTTTATACTTTTCCTTAAACTTAACCGATTTTAAGTATCAACGTGCAACTATTGTGAGACCGGGCTTGGCTCTCTGTCACTTTGGCAACCCTTTGCCCGTTGGCCGAGGTGCCACCTGCCTCCTTCGCTTCAAAGTGCTCGGTCAGCAGCTGATGGAAGCACCAAAGAACTTCACAATCAACAGCACCATCACCTCGTAAGCCAATCATTTTTTGTCACTCTCCTCTCAGTCCCATCACATTGCCACTCTAAGGCTCACTATCAGCAGGTAGCCATCATTCATCACCAGGCTTGACTACCTGCAGTCACTGACGGCAAGGGAGTGCTGCCCTGTTCCTTTACCTTTATTAAATCTGCAAATGAGATGAAGCGTTCCTTTTATTAATGGACTTTATCAACAAAAAAAAACAACTACTTCAAAGTAAAAGATTGGTCACTCTGACTTCGCCATAGCAAATGAC